ATATGAGTTTAAAATCTAAACAGATTTCGATAAATGATAGGAATTTGAAATTCTCACATTTTTCGATAAGGATTTGGGAGTGTGAAATTAGAATCATTGAAATTATGTTCAATTGGTTTATTTCACAAAGTAAGGATCATAGACAAACATAGAGTGCATACTTGGTGTATGCCAACGCGTACGCCTACAAGCCTAAGGGACTTGTTAACGTATCCCTTAGGGAGAACATCAAAAAGGAGGAGTCAAACTAACGCCAAGCTTGGCTTGGGCAGAACCTGACCATGCCCAATATGAGGCCAAGGCCGGGCCTTAGCCAACGAGGAGTCACTGGTATGGCGCCTTGCCCTCTTCTCCTAGAAATAACACCCCGACAAACGCGAGACCAATCAGAGAGTTCCACTTGTCCATCTGACGACAGCCACGATGATCATAATATAAAAGATTCCCCTCTAGCTAATGAGGGGACGAGCTAAAAAGGCGTGACGTGAGATCCTTCAATACGGATCCGCCACGTCGCACCTCACGAGGGAATGCTCAACAGAATCAGTTATGAGGTACACGCCTCACAACCATGTATAAAAGGATCCTTCTTCTTCAAGAGGAAGGGGACGGAACTCTTTTTCCTAAGTTTGACCCTTACTTCTCTCAGAATCAACACTAACTTGATCGTCGGAGCTTCGTCCCCGGAACCCCTCCGGGACGTCGACTAACAATCATCTTTCTCTTTTGTACTGTGATATCAGGAGAAGAAACCGGCACAATTCTCACCCTCAATTCCAATTCAACCCTCTCTGACATATCACAACAATATGTCACTATAAAATTAACGAATTTAATGGCATTTAACAACTTATGTCACTAATATATATATATATATATATATATATATATATATATATATATAATATATATAATTAATGGCACAATAATATAAAAATGCTACTAAAAATATAAATTTTATGTCATACAGTTATTAAATACCATTTAAGTTTTATTGAAATACTTCAATTATTTTTTTGTGCCGCTAAAAGAAATATTAACCCAGATTTTTGCTACTAAAATATATTTTAAATATTTTTAAGTATTCATCAATGGAAACAAGATTACTTGAATATCTTGCTGCGAAATTTCGTTTCCTTCTTCTTGTCACAACCTTGAATCAATCAAACAATGCTCTAATTTGATCGCCCTCAAGCTCCTCAGATCCAAGAGCCCCACCACATGCCATTATGATTTTTTCTCTGATTGCTCTAATTTGATCGCAATTCACAAGCTCTGAGAGCCTCACCAAAAATCTATGACAACAAGTCGTTGAACCTCACATCTAATGTATTCCAAACTTTGTTGTCGAATTTACAATTTCTCATTCAACTATGTATTGCTTCAAATGTGACTATGATTTAGCTTTGACTGAGAATATTGCAAATTCTTTGTATCAAATGCGATTTTGACAATTGATTAGCAACAATGTATCAAATGCGATTTTGATTTAGTTTTCACTAAGCAGTTATTACGAATTAGACCGACAAAAGATAAACTTTTAACCAAAATTGACCCAACAATTTTTGGATAATTTGTAATTGTTTTGTTATTTTGTACGAGAAAAGCATAAGATGAAATTAAATGTATGGCTCTTTACTTTTACATGAATCTATATGTCAAACTACACACTGTTACATAAAATTTCATTTTCTCACTTCATTAGCAATTCTATATGTATTTTATAAAGTCTCAGATTTTTATTACTTTCTCCATCCAGACACTTTGTATAGAGAAGACAAAAGTTTAAAATCAGATCGTGAATATACTTGACCATGATATGTTGAATTTGAAAAATATTATCACCCGTGAACTCACAAATCCGGTCAATGGCTACATTAATATCTTTCCTACTTCCATCAAATCTTTCTTTTCTCAAATTGACATAGGTGGACCTCTTTGTAAAAATACGTCCTTAGATATGCATATTTAATTTAGATATGATAAATACAATAATGATTTTTTAAATAAAATAAAGCATAAACTTTAAAGTAGGATGATATAATAAACTAATAAATGAAAGTCACTTGCTATTTCTTGCACTACTAAAAGCAGTGAGATGATATGTAAAGGTTTAGAATATGTACTATTGGATTTTCCTTGTTTCTACCTCGTTATCCGGTGTCCCTAAATGCTATCTTCCAGCTTATTAAGATGACTACTTCCATACTACAAATAAAATAATGATTTAGTTAGCTTGTTTAGTCTTCCTAACTTTTTATATTTTTTAACATCATTTATCCAAACAACTGAACAATTAATGGGAAAAATAAAACATGAACTTACATAAAGGGTGTTTAACTGCACATATCGTGTTGATGTAGTCATAACATTAATGCCTCTATAATTTCTCATATCTATTATGTTTATTTCTATTAATGCTTATGATGGTTTGTAAACATGTACTGAAGTTTGAACTGCATGTTCCATAAATCTTTCTTCATAAAGATAAACATTTTCATATGATTTCTAGTCATTTACATTAAATCCTTGTTTTTTTAGCATTAAAAGAGTTACTGGATTTTACATGGTACCTCCATCTTCTGCAATCTTGGCTGGTGCTTGTAACGTCCCAAAAATTATAGGTAAAAATTTTCTTTTAAATCCAACAAACAACCATTCAATCATTGAGAAAATCCTATCTGAGTATAAAACATTTCATATAATCATCAGAGTACAAGAATCATAGATTGCAGAACACTAGTGGATGCGTTTGCGATCATGTCGGACTCTTCCCTTTCAAACTAGAAGTACCTGAAACCATAAACATAAAACTATAAGCACAAAACTTAGTGAGTTTCCCAAAATACCCCGTACTAAACATACATATCACCACGAAGCTAAACTGAGTCTACTTCATCTCCGAGTCTATTTCAACTCCTTCGGTATCTTTCAACCGGTACAGGTCTATTTCACCCCCGACTCTATTTGAACTCCTTCAGTATCTTTTAACTGGTACATATGTATTTCACCTCCGAGACTATTTCAATTCCTTTGGTATCATTCAACCGTTATAGGTCTATTTCACCCCTACATCTAAGCATGCAATCATATCAGCAAGAGTCGTAAAGACAACAAGCACATACATGCATATCAGCAAGTGTCACAAAGACAACAAACATCCTACAAACAAAATCAGTGGGCCGACATTGGTGTCTTTGACCCCCGAGTACAGTGAAGAGACTCACCTCTCATTCGATACTCAGTTGATGTTGCTCTTACTGCCAGAAATACTGATGCTACACACCACCTATACCATTACACAAGTAACCCTCAACTCTTTTTTCCAAACTAGGACTTTGACCAAGAGTTAACTCAAGTCAAAAGTGAGTGGTCAACGTTGACATTAGTCAACCGCCATGTTGTGGCCATCCATTGCCACACAGTGGCCTTCATACATCGATACATCAGACTTTTTCCTAACTGCCGTGCCGTGGCGACCTAAGACCACTCTGTGGGAACTAGTCTCCAATAACTTAATGGTTTAAGCCATTTTCCTCGATTCCAAGAGCTCCAAAGCTCAGATCTGGTCCGAAACATGGTCTTGTAGGATAAAGTTTCCAACTTTATCCATTATAACCACCCCAAAAGTCAAAAAATCTCAAACCCTAGGTCCAATAAGGCTAAATACAACAATATCTTAAACATTAAGTCCTTAATCTGAAAAGTCGTTAACCCAACCACTCCAGAAGGGTTTCTAATACCAAATCTAACATAATGGTGGGTGCATTATAGATATGCATGTACAGTGCATGTCTTGAAGCCATAATGGGTCCAAACCTACAATCATACTAAATGTTCCAAAGATTCATAAAGTTGCAAACTTTATAAAGTCTCACCATTGCAACTATCAAGAACAAGAAGATTATGGGCTAAAACTGAAGATCTAGCAACCTAGCATGATAAAAATCGAGTCTTGGACACTTACAAAGGTCCAGAAGAGTGTTAGGGGTGAGGAATGGAGACTTGCTTGCTGGATCTTAACTTCCTTTTTCTTCCTTATCACTTTAAAACATCCAAGAACACCAAAAATCGCTTCAATAATGGGGGAAAGAGGTTAGTGTTTTCTTTAGAGATTTAGAAGGCTAATGGAGGTTAAGGGTGAGCAAAACCTAGCCTCCTCATTCCTTTAAATAGTGGTCCAACCTAGAAATCTAGGGTTTCATTAAAATCACCTGCCATGTTGTGGGCCTTATAGTCATGCCGTGGCGGGTCATTAAACCTCGCGACCAAGAAAACAATCGCCACATCGTGGTGAGGATCCAACACGTCGTGGCCACCCAAGAATAATATTCAAACATTAGCATATTAGCTCTAAAAACGTGCCCCCCAGAATGGGCTAGGGGTTACGCTCAGTCGTGCTAAAGACGCGTTAAGGCAGGCAGCTAGGCCAAGCTACTCCCAACGTAGCTGCCCCGACAAAGTCTTATGCCCACATGCATCCCTTAAGAGTTGTACGTCCGCGGAAGGCTCGGCCCTCAGTGGGCGCCTTCTACTTCGCGACAAAACCAATGGCTCCAAAAGATAAGGAGTATGCTCAGAGCATTACAACCTGAACCAATCGCTAGCTCTGGCACAACGTGGGACACGATTAACCAATCAAGGCATCAGATCCTGTCATATCTGATGACTTTGTCTCACATACGGACTTGCAGGAGCTCTCAGTATAAAAGGCCTCCTCCTCCACTTCGAACAATAAGCTATTCCCTCTCAGCTAAAACCCTACACTCTCAGTTCAGTCACTAACTTGATCGTCAAAGCATTTTCCCAGGAGCTCCTCTCGGAGAACGGATGACAGTTTTCCCCAATTGCAACGTTGCAGGTCTTCTCGAACCAATCAAAGCCACCTCATAGCGTTCCAAGTTATCACTTCAGCCTACCAGAAGACCAGGTCACATCATTTGGAGCCATCCGGTGTGTGACAAACGAAAACCAAAACCCACACATCATCAACCTAGAAGATGACGACTGAAAACATCGACGAAGCTAGCGAAACGCCAAGAAGTCCAATCAGAACCATGATGTTGTTAGAACCAGACATCATCCCCATCACCACATCACGTCAATCGATAACCAGCGTGACTACCGCGCCACAGTCCGGTGGCCCAACAACTATCAACACCTCGATAAGCGAACTTTGGCGGCTAACAATGGAAGAGCTGATTTCCTCTGCCACTACACAGCCACAAACTTTTCAATTCACCAACCATCAAACGACGTCAATTCTCAGCAGTACGATGCCGCTGTAATACAAACCATCGGTGGAACATTTGCCTTCGCGCAGACGCCACCCCCACTGATAAACCAAACTGATGGCGAACAAATCACCGGCTCCCATGCAACCTCATTCACAACAACCATGCCACTCTCTATGCCATTACAACAACCTCCACCGTTCACAAGAAACCAACTGCTCTCAACAAACCAGCTGTTGACAACAAGCCAACCTTTTGAAACAAATCCGCCACTTACCTTGCCATTTCAACCTCAAAGCTTCTATGACCAACTCCAACGCATCTCTCAGCGTACAAAAACATGTTTGTGCAACCATACCTCACCAACCAACAATTCCACCCCAGTCACATCCTCCCGATCCTCCAGATCCCAAACCAAGAATACCTATCTAGAAGTGTGACATCCCCTTTCGTAAAAGGAGCTCTTAGACTACGAAATACCAAGTAATGCTAAGTTACCACACCTCAAAACCTACAATGGGACTACAAACCCATATAGCCAAATCGATACGTACGTATAGACTATGACCTCGCTAAAGCTAGATGAACGATTCTGGTGCACATATTTCCCAACAACGTTAGATGGTAACGCAGGAACGTGGTTTAAGACACTCCGTCAAGGAATAATATACAAATCTGGCCAGACGAAGTATCTTTTGTTGACAAACTTCATGCAACTACGGAAGTACAAGGGAGATTCCCACTCCATTATCGACTGTAAACAAAAGGAGGGGTAGATGGTGAGAGAATACTTTGCGAGATTCACCAACGCCACCTTAGACGTTCCAAGACACGATGAAGGGCTAAGATGATGAGCTTTCACATAGAGCCTTCTTCCCCAACCACTATCTCAAACACTTATGCGAAAGAAGCCCCAAACATGATCCGAGTTGAAAGAGAAGGTAGAACGCTACCTAAGGCATGAGGAAGGAGAGGCAACAAAGCAAGTATACCTCAACGCCATGACCTCCCCAACCACAAAAAAACATCACCAACCCATTTACCATCAACAGAGCCAAGGAGGAATCAAACACTTTCGACGTACGAGGAACCAACAAGGGCGCTTCAGGCCATTCCCACGAGGAGGAAGAAGAGGACGATGACCGGACATTTACGTTGTCGCCGATAGACAGGTGGGAAAGGAGGTCAAAGGACGCTACTGCGAATACCACAAAAGTAAGACTGATGATACCATCAACTGCTTAGTGCTGAAACAAGAAATGGAGAAGAAACAATTAAAAGGGAACCTGATAGAGATCACACGAATCCTCCATGCCAAATTTGAGGTTGAGAACGCCAAGGATAATGCGAAAGCGAACGACCGTGCCCAGGAAATCCTGACCATACAGGCAAAGAGAAGAAGGCTAGGGGACAATGGCGGAATAGATAACATGATAAGATCCGTGTAAGGACTAACATTCTCAATGATGGACCCTCGCCCCACAGGGTGGTGGGGGGACAACCTGTTGATAATCCAAGGATCTATAGGAAACACCATCATCCATCGTGTGTATGTGGACACTAGCAGCTCAGCGGACATTATCTATAAACATTGTTTCCGCCTCCTTCCGGATAGATGGAAGGAGGGTCTTAAGCCTGCAACGGGACAGCTAATAGGATTTACAGGGCACAACTTATGGCCCCTAGGTACAATCCACTTACCGTTCACACTAACCACGCATGATAATCCAAGGATCTATAAGAAACACCATCATCCATTGTGTGTATATGGACAGTAGCAGCTCAGCGCACATCATCTACGAACATTGTTTTAGCCTCCTTCTGGATATATGGAAGGAGGGTCTTAAGACTGCAACGGGGCAGCTAACAGGATTTACAGGGCACAACTTATGGCCCCTAGGTACAATCCACTTACCGTTCACACTAACCACCCATGACAAGACGAGGCGAAAGACTGCTCTCATCGACTTCGTCGTCATACAACACCCAACAAAACACAATATTATACTGGGATGAACAGCTCAATTCAAATTATGAGCAATTCCATCCACCATACATGGAGTAGTGAAATTTGGCACGACAGAAGGGCCGGGAACAATCCTGGCCATGTCACCAAAAGAATTACGATGCTACGAGATCATGCAACCAAAGGAAATCATGAAAGAGGCCAAAAAGCCACAGTCAGATTTCCCTAGCAAAAGGGTGATCATCAATACAGAACACCCATACCAAGCAGTCAACATAGGAGCCAACCTTCCTCTGGCAGTAAGACAGGAACTGATTGACCTATTGAATAAATACAAACATGTCTTCGCCTGAACACCCACGGACATGGTGGGGGTAAACAGATAGGTCATAGAACACAAGCTAATGATAGATCCAGGGACCAAGAAAGTAAATCAAAAGAAACGTGTCCAAGGAAGAGATATGACCAAAGAGATCAATGTTGAGGTTACCAAGTTGATCAAGACAGAGATACTTCTGTAACAACCCAAAAATACGACCGAAAAAGTTCATTTTTAATTTAATAAAACCAGTATTCCAAAAACAACATCAATACAATCCCAATAAAATAAGTGTATCAAACATCATCTCGAATCAGAGTAAAACACAAAAGGCGGAACTAGGTGGTGTGTGCCCTGAAATCATCTCGAGCCCTTCCCTTTGGAACTGGAAGTACCTAAAACATAACCTGAAAACCGTAAGAACAAAGCTTAGTGGGTTCCCCAAACCACCCCATACCATACATAATAAATCACATACTGGCCCCCCACCCTCCATCGGGTCCCTCCTGGTATTGAGTCCCACTTAGCTTCGGGCCCCGCCCGACATCGAGCCCGATTGGTATATAGATCTGTTATTCATAGGCCCCGCCTGACATCGAGCCCAACCTACTATACACATAGACATATATCACACAATCAAACTAACACATACAATGATCATAAAACAATAGCATACGATACAACCATCGGGCCCTGCTCGACATCGAGCTCCACCCGGTATACATAGCATCACATATCTCATGCAAGGGTCACACAGACTGCTAGCATCCTAACATAAATAACAAGGGCCATCGTTGGTGCCTTAGACCCGATAAACCCAGTGAGGAAACTTACCTCGACTGCTGAATCACACGACTGAATCTCTGGATGCTGTCCAACGAATCCCCCGAGCTCAATAAGCTTGCGACAAGGGTGATGATTCTAGATCTATGACCTTCTCACCAAGCAAAGCACTTCAATCTTCTATATTTCCCTCACAAGGAGAAAAACAACCACCAAATTCTTCTTAAGGACTCAAATGCTAAACAATGGAGGCTAAGGGACGATTTCAAGGGTTTTAGAGGCTTAGAGATTGGTAAAGAGGCCAGTCCTAAATACTTAAGGTGTTTATATAGGGTGCATCATCTTAAATTAGGGTTTGATTAAATCTCACGTTTACCCCGCGTACATAAGTGTACGCCTTGCGTACATATCCGGAGTCCCAATCAAGTCTCGCATCAGTACGCTAAGCGTACCATGTGGTACCCCCCGCGTACTGGCTTCTCAGCGAGTACGCTAAGCGTACCATGTGGTACGCCCCGCGTACTACCCAAGGACCAAAAGTACAACTTTTAAATAACAAAGGGAAATAATGAAACATACCAATATTCAAGTGTTACAATTCTCCCCACTTGAATCAGACTTCTTCCTCGAAGTCCGCTGCCCCGAACAACTCTGGATAGTACTCCCTTATCTCATCTTCGGGATCCCAAGTCCACTACAAACCCTTACGGTGCTGCCATTGCACCTTCACTAGCTCGACAACCTTGTTCATCAAGGTATTCGCCTTCTTATCCAAAATGGATGTAGACTGAAGCTATTAAGGTCTGGTGAAGAGAAAATGAGCTTAAATAGGGTCCAAAATCCCTAAAATAGGGTTTGCATGAATCTGAAGTACGCCCTGCGTACCACTAGTACGCTTAGCGTATTCCTGTCAAGATCGCATTCCTTCTCCTTCATATGCCCAACTTAAACCTTGCAACCTTCCGAAGGCCATAACTCTTTTGTTATAAGCCCGATTCTGACGGTCCTTATATCCACGAAGAGGTAACGAGATGCTTTACACTTCTAACTCATACTCGCCTGAAGATTTCCCAAACAAAAATCTAATTTCCATAAAAGCCCGAGCTAACACATTACCAGGATACCCTTGGCTCCAAAACGAAAACTGAACACCCAAATCATCTAAATTATGTTACCCACACCCAATTGGGAAACAATTCGGGACATGGCTTTACAAGCTTCAAGGCAGTTGAAGCCTCATGAGGCGAATTACCCTATACATGATTTAGAATTGGGGGCTGTGGTTTTTGCCCTCAATATTTGGAGGCATTATATGTATGGGGTTAAGTGTAGTATCTACACCGACCACAAGTGTTTGAGGTATCTCATGGATCAACTGAATTTGAATATGCGGCAGTAGAGATAGCTGGATGTGGTAAAGGACTATGATTGCAAGATCCTATACCACTCCGAAAAGGCCAATGTGGTGGCTGATGCTTTGAGCCCTAATGCAAGGGGTGATCCTATCAGGGATGTTTGCTGAGGCTGGTTATTACTTCGTCTTTGTTGTATTTGATCAAAAAGGCTCAGGTGAAGGGATTGAAGAAGGACAATTGGAAAGTCGAGCAAATCAGAGGTCTAATTCATTTATTTGTCAGAGATAGTCGGGGGTTGTTGACTCAGTGCGGTATATTATGGGTTCCGACTACTGGTGGGGTGAGACATTCAGTTCTGGAGGAGTCACATAAGTCAAAGTTTTCAATCCATCTGGGGGCCACAAAGATGTATCGAGATATGAAGTTGAGTTATTGGTGGCCAAACATTAAAAGAGAAATAACATGGTTTGTCGAGCGATGCCTGACTTGCAGGAAAGTCAAGGTCGAACATCAGAGACCCCATGGAAAAGTGCAGTCATTACCCATTCCCATGTGGAAGTGGGAGGAGATTACCATGGATTTCATCACGAAGATGCGAAGGACATAACTTGGAGTTGATTCTTTGTGGGTC